TAGAAAGCAAAACTGGCAGCCATACACTGTGTGTTAGGCTTCTGGTTTTGTAAGAAGTTCAAAAGGAGAGCATTTACCTGCTCAAGCCCTTGACCTTGTGCTGAAATAATGCCAACTGGACACATTTACATGCTTAGCGTTAAGAGCACAGGTTTGACGTATAAACCCATCTTACTCGTTTTCTGTGAGTTCCCATTTTAATTGGATTTTCTTATTAACTAACTGACCATAGCATGGGAAATCAGGGTTTCTATTCTACAGTCTATTGAAAACAAAACAAAACAAAACGCTTGGTTTTCAGAGAGCTGGGTTTTGAATGGGAAAGAAAAGACCAAGGGGCAGTTGAGGTAATATGCCTTCTTAAAACCCTCCGATGCCGTTCCATCCTACTCGGATGAAGTACTGCCACTTTGCATGCCATCGGTTGTAAACTTCTATGGGGACTACGAGACCCTGTCTCTTTCCCTCCTGAGTCTCCAGCCGCTTCCCTTTTCTTCAGTAGACTCCGGCTCCTGGCCTCCCTTTTCATCCTCAAACACGGCAAGCCTCTCCCCGTCTCCTTCCTCGGGCAGTTACCCCAATTTACTCTGCAGACTAATGTGTGTGTCGTCTGCGCTTTGCACCCTACCCCTAGACATGCATCGCCCTGCTCCCTGACTGCAGTCCCCGTTCCAGGGGGCTGTCTTACGGCTGCTCTATGCCTGGGACCTAGAGGAGGCCAAGGGGTGTGGGAGGCAGTAGGTACATATTTGCTGAATCAGGGCTGGAGAAAATGTATATCCCCAGCTCATTTACATCACCAGGTTGCAATGGTCAGTTTCAGGAAATGACTGACTTCTGTCTTTACTGGGAAATAATTTTGTTAATTTCACAGGATGTAGCCAGACCAATGGACCCAATCCAAGAATCCAACCACTTAATGTTTTCTTTGGTTGGCTAATTCCAGCCAACTCACCAAGACAGTCATCTAGAAAGACAATATTTTGGATATGAAATGTTAAAAGCCCCTGGAATGCACAGAACTGTCTCGAATGCAAATGCAGTGCCGTACAAAATGTCCTCAGTCTAGAATTTATGGCTCTGTTTTCCAGGGTTGGGACAACTTAGAAGGATGGAACATTACTGCCTATTTAGTCATTCTAAGTTTTTTTTCTTCTTCTTAGAATCTTTTTTTTCCTTAACATTGAACATCTACAATGTGCCTTTGATTTTTTTAACATCCACTGACTTGAATCTTCACTCTCTGATGCAGGTGTGAAGGTAGGTAAGAAAATCGAGGTACAGGAACCTGCTTAAATGAAGAAGACAAAACTGATAGTGGAAGAGATAGAATTAACCTCAAAAACTGTGTTCTTCCACTGTACCAAGCCTTTCTTCACACACTAAAGAGCGGACAAACCCACATGGAGCCTGGCTAGATTTTTAATCCTGGGAGTCTGACTCCACCCCACCCCGCTGTTCGAAATAAATCAAGTCTTTCCTCCCAGAGTTTGCCCCTCAGTTCCAGAGACAAAAATCCCATCTATAACGGAGGTGAGCCGTTACAGAGCTGCGCTATTCTGTGATTCGTGAACCACAGTCCGTGGAAAAAAATAAAAGGTAATTCATTAGGTTTTGTTTGCTAGCCACGCCAGGAAAGCTAATCAGTGCTCACCAAGAGGCGGGCATGGGACAGATGGCTGGGAACGTAAGGCGCACGCATGTATTTTAAGTCTGTAGGTCTGAGCCAGAAATAAATGAGAGCCGTGTGACAGCCCCGGGGCCCTGCGAGACAAACCTGCCACCGAGCTGCGTTAGTTTCTGGGCTTCCTTCATGGATCCCAGTGTCTGCTGTGTCGATGGCGCCCGCTGTGACTGCGGTGGGCAGGGAAGAGACAGACGGGGCACTGTCGAGCACGCGTCTGACGGACGCGAGGGACGGACGCGCTCAGCCCTCACGGTTGGCCAAGTCCCATCTGTTGTACCGATTAATTGCCGCAGGGGCCCTCGGAAGTAGGTACCCCGCTTCTTCTCCCCGTTTTACAGATGAAGAAGCTGGGTCACCCAAGAGGTTAAGTGACTGGCCTAGGTCACCGGGCGCATAAGAGTCAGAGCCGGTGTCTGACCAAGGCGGTCGGCCCGGGTTCCTGCTCTCCCCAGGAAGCTTTCCGCTTCTGCTCAGGTTGCCACCGTCTCTGCCTGTAAAACGGGGCCCGGGCTCTGAATGCCTCCGTCCTCCGCAAACGACAGGACGGGAGAGTTAGAAGGCACCTGAAAGGCGGCTGGGCACACTGGTTTCTCACACCTCTCTCAACTGCAGGCCCGCGACATTTTCCTCGAGGCTCAGTTGTGAGGCAGCAAGAGAGGGGCCGAGGGCTCGGGCCCTCTGCCTCACTCCCTCCTCCTGGTGGACCTGGGTGCACCCCTCGGCGCCCACTTTGCAGGTGGCAAAACCGGGCCCCAAGGAACTTCTACACTAGATTGGAAAAGACCCGTTCCCCACCTGTCCGATGAGGTGGCTGCGTCACCTTCTGTCCTGCAGCACGATTCCCTGAGCACCCATTATACCCCCCTCTATGCCAGGAGGGTCCCGGGGCCCGGGGGTGTGTGACAGGGAAGACCCGGAAGGCACTTATAACATGACTGGCGCTCTTATAAGAAGGAGCAATTTGGACACAGGCTCACAGAGGGCAGACGGCCATGTACTTGCTGAGAAATGCCCGGGGCTGTCAGAGGTTGGGACGCTGGCCTCCAGAGCCGTGGGGCAGTACACTTGTGTCGCTGGAAACCTGGAGACCTCGGACCTGTGGTACTTGGTTAAGGCTGCCCTAGGAGAGGAAGTCCGGGGGGACAGAGCATAATGGATCCCTGCTGGAATCGCGCGGACCCTTTGGTGTTGCTTTGTCCTCCTGCCATAGGGGCATTTCTTATTTATTGATTTGTTTGTTTGTTTATTTATTTTGCCAGTGTACATTCTGGCGGCAAAAGGGGCGCGCACGTTTCTTCAGGGTTTTGAGGAGCTGGCTGCTGGGGTATCGTGCCTCTGGTCATAGCCTCTGCTGGAGGGGGAGGGAGGCAGAGAGCGAGACAGACGGCCTTGTGCCCTGGGCGTGCATTCCTGAGGGCCCGGCATTCGGAAGCTGCAGCCAAGGCTTACGCTGCGCGTGACGTCCCGCACGGGGCCTCCCTGGCCGTGGGTGGCCACGGGGTTACGAGGGCTCCTTTCATCTCTGCCCAAACCATCAGCATCCTTCCTCGTGCCTTCTCTCCCGCAGGCCTTCTCGCTGGAATCCTAGCCCGCCATGCCTTTTCCTCCCACAACCCCGAGGCGGATGCTTGATCAGGTTGAAATGATAAACAGTTCTAAGCAGAGAGACCGCATGGTTTAGTTGAGAAAGGGTTCTGGGGCTCAGAGAAGCTACGGGTAGGTCACCGCTGGTCCTTGGGAAAACCACGTAGAACTCCTTGAACCTCAGACTCTTCACTAGTAAAACAGAGATTAATTTCAACCCTACCAACCGGACCAAGGTCCTGGACATGCTGTAAAGCGCCATATAAGCTGTGTAAACCAGGGAAAGCAGGGAAATAATGGGAGATCCAGGATGCCTTGGGGACTGTGCTAGTTTCTCGCAGTGCTGCATCTAATCACCACACGTGTGGTGGCTGAAAACACCACAAATGTACCGCCTTGCAGTTCTGGAGGCCAGAACTCCAGAATCAGTTTCACTGGGCCCAAACAAGCTGTCCGCAGAGCCGCGCTCGCTCTGGAGGCTCCGGGGGAGAAAGCCCTTCTTGCTATTCCAGCCCTGGTGAATGAGCGCTAGCGCACGGCAAGTCTCTCCCCGCCCCCCTCCGACAAGGATTGCACGTAGGGCCCATCAAGGGTGACCCTGGAGAATTTTCCCACATCAAGACCCTTAACTTAATCGCTCCTCAAAGCCTGTGTTCCTACAGGTAGTCAGGGTCGGGGCCTGGTATCTGGCGGTGGCTATTACTCAGCCTACTACAGGGACATTGCCGATTACAATGAGAAATGACACATGTTAACTTCACGCTGTCGCAAAATAACTCAGGGTGAAGCCATTTTGGGGCGGGACAATTTGGAAACTATTAGCCTCCTTTTAGAGATGAGGCTACGGGACATCAGGGAGGCAAAGGGGCTCGCCCAAGGCCGTGCTGCCGGCGAGGGTGGGGCTCTAGCTCCGACCGGCCACCCCTCAAACAGACCACGGGCGTGGGCGACTGATGTCCTTGTAGCGTCCTGGCTTCCATTCTCAGATAAAATCAAACTGCCCGATGCCGGCACCGTCTGGACTCTGAGCCCTGACCCCCGTTGTCTGTGGACATTCACCGGAGGGCTGAGCCCTGGGAGCGGGTGGAGCCTGGAAGCAAACCCTCGCTCTTTCTGTCTTTGTTTTTGAACCTTCTCCTTGGGTTCTGAGGAACTCAGGGCTGCGGTCTGGGCCCGCTGGGTCCCCTGCCCTTCCTGTGGGTTTCCTTTCCCTTGTGCCTCCTATTTTTCTTGCCTATTTTGATCATTTTACTGCAGCTTAAATTTTATAATAAGGCGTATTACACCTATTCTGGATGTGAGAAGGGCACATAAAGCAGGTGTAAGCAAAACGCTTCTCTTGTTGCCCTCCAAACCCTTTTCTGCTGTGGAAAGTCATTTTTTTAAGTGAAGCTAAGTGCTCAGTGTCCAGGGGTATTAAAGCCTTCTCCCCAGCCAGGTTAATCCAGTAACAGCGAATACTGCACTTTCTACATCTTTCATTTTACTTTCCCTTCCTGCAACGCTGTAAAATAAAGAGGCTGTTACTATTACACCCGTGTTTTGGACGATGGAACTGAGGCGCCCAGAGATTACGTGACAAGTCGCACGTCATTGAGTCCGGACTTGTATGTTGGTCCGGCCCTCTTTTCTCTGCCATCCTGGGGATCACAGAAGCACACGTGACAGGGGCCACCTGCCAGACTCCCCTTCTTCGCCAACACCCGTCGTGGCCCCACGGTCACCTCACCTGCCGCGGCCGTAGCTTTCGGGAGCGTGGTACAGGAAGACATTTCCTCGGGCCGTCCTTGCCCAGTGGCTGGCCATGTCGATCACGGGGCAGGTGATAAAGTAATCCCTGGTAGGGGAGGACAGAGGAGGGGTCTAGTGACACGCAGCTCTATAGACAACTGTGCGGGGTGAAGGCTTCTCCTAGGCAAGGGCCCCTCGGCCACCAAGCCCTCTGCTCAGGCCCTCCTCGAGCCCTGCAGCTGGCTCGAGGGAGCAGCCGGGGCCCACGCCTGGGCCGGTCTGGTTTAGGGCTGGCCGTGCTCACACGCGGGTGTCTGTGGAGACGCATCTCGGGATCAAGAGACTTGTGAGACAGGCATCTTCCTGGAACATCAGTGCCACTTCAAGATTTTGTGGCAAAATATTTTGTGGTAAAATAAATATAGTATCCTACGGAGCACCACGTAAAAGAATTGTGTGTTTTAAAACACAGACACCTGAAGGATGCTTCGTGCACATGATACCTTAGACTAGTGGCTCTCAACCAGGACACCCGCACCCCCAGGGGACACCCAGCAATGTTTGGGGACATTTTTGGTTGTCAGAGCTGGAGGGGGAAAGGTTTCTACTGACACCTAGTAGGTCGAGGCCCGGGCTGCTGCTAAGTGTCCTACAATACACAGAAAAGCCCTCCGCAGCAAAGAATTTTCTAGTCTGAATGTCAACAGTGAGGAGGTAGAGGACCCTGCGCCCTGCTTTAGACTCCCCAAGTCTCACACCTGCTCTGCCTTTGGGGTGATGGGGATCCGTTTCAGGAGCCCCAGCTCGGCCCCACGGGCCCAGCGCGGGCCAGTGCGCGGCTGTGCACCGAGGAGACCGCCGGCCTGGCTAGCATTGGGCAGGCCTCAGCCGGCCTGGGCCCCAGCAGGTTTTGAATCCCACTCAGCCCTCCTTGTATCTCTTGATGTTCCATCTGCTCGGCTGAGAAATGGGGCCCACGGGGCCCCTCCGTGCAGAGATGCTGTAACGACCAAACCTGGTGACACCCGTGGAAGTCCCGTGATGATGGTTACCACCCCCTTAGCTGGTCCCTTGGGCAGCTGCAGCATTTATAGGGAAGGCTGTGAGGGAGGGCAGCGCCAGCGGCGGGGGTCCGGAAGGGCAGAGGAAGGCGGTGCGCACCACCGCACAGTCCCCCTGAGAGTGGAGGGCAGGACAGGGAAGAGAGCGCACCTATGGGACATCACACGCTGGCAGCTCCGTCAGAGTGGGGGCGGGGGCAATGCCAAGGAGACCGGAGGCCGGGAGGCCATCGCCTGGCTCTGGCCAGAAGAAAAGGAGGGCCTGAGCTAAGGGAAGGCTGGAGTCCGCCTCCAATAGGAAGCCTTCCTGGGTTACCTGCCCCCCCTCGGACCTTAGCTCTTGCCTAGTGCACAGACTGCCCTCAAAGCCAATTAAAGGCAAGCCCGGGGCAAGAACTCTAGCCCTGAGCAATTTCTGCAACACAGATCTGAGCAGGTCCTGAGTTGCTCACGAGCCTCTCAGGGCCCAGGACTCAGGCTCCTCTGAGTTTTCAGCGTCCCTCTAAGCCTGGGCCTCCAGGAATAGCAGTTGGCTGTTTGGTTTAAAGCTGAGCTCTCTGCTAGCAGGAAAATTAAAGCCTTTCTGGTGCCCATGATCCCAGTGGGCAGAACAAAGGTTCATTCTGAGCTAATGACCTTCCACTTGGAAGCCAGACTCTTGGGTGGAGAGGTCGCACCAGGCGGTGGGTCTCCACACGCTTCAGTCCCTCCCTTTCCAGCACAGTCCAGTTCCGCACAGGCCTCTGGGCCTTGGCATTGGCTCCGTGCCCAGGGACAAAGAGCAAAGGCGTAGGTGGACCTCCCACAGGGGAGGAAAGAAGTTATAGGCTGTCGAAACTGTGCGACCGCATTGTTCCCAGGGAAACAGCAGCATGTGGAAGGGTCGGAGGCGGGCTCCAAGGTGACAGACAGCTGGAGCCCCTGCTGTGGTCTCGTCCCCAGGGGGCTCCGCAGGCAGAGACAACCAGGACCTTGGCTAGGCTTCGATTCCATTCAAAACTCACTTCTCGAGCACCAGCCATGCGCTCGCATAAGGCACAGCTCTTGGCCCCAGAGAGGCCACCATGGCCTGGGAGACAGGCAGGTCCTGACAAGTGTGCGGGGGTGGGGACAGCACAACCTTAGGAGGATGGGGGGCACCTGTTAATTGCTCTTGGGGTGGGACAGTCAGGGCCGTCTTCCCTGAAGCAGGGACCCTTGAAGCAGTTAACTTGACCAGCAAGACACACAAGCGCTGAGCTCAGGACCGGCACCCCAGGGGCGCGGGGCTGCAGGGGCATCCGGCAGAAGCCTTCCCCTGTGTACGCCCCACGTTCCACATGCAAGGTGATGTCTGGCTGCACAGTAGGGTCACCTGGGGGAGCTCTGAAAAATACTGATGCTTCTGGGGCCTGGGTGCCCGCTGCCCTTTGAGAGCTGCCCACGCGGTTCTCACGGGCAGCCAGGGGCCGCGGTCGTCTCTGCCAGGCTGAGCACAGCAGGCTCCCCATCAGCCGTTGCTGGGCAGCTGCTTCTCGGCGGCGGGCATCCAACAGGCGCCCTGGCAAGCGCTGTCTGTGCCCCCAAAGGCATGTGTCCTGCCCGGGGAAGAATCGGGTCGGCCCTCATTTCTCCCACCGGTGGGCAGTCACCCCCAGCTGTGTGCTGACGGAACGACGCAGAGGAAAGTGGCCGTACCGGGTGCCACACCTCAGTTCTCTTGCATCACCTGAGCATCACCTTGGCCCCAAGGAAGGACAGCAGTGGGAACCACGTCCCCAGGCTCTTACCGGGTGGCGTTCTCCAGGGCCCGGGAGAAGGAGGCGTAGTCGTCTGCAGAGTGTTCCAGGGAGTAATACCACGTGGCAGCAGCCTGCACGCTGGCGTCTGCACCCTCACCGCCCAGGGAGTTCTGCAGCGCCCGGTAAAAGGCTGTTTTGCTACTGGTCCGGCCTTGACTTTCCTCAAATTGCTTGAGAGAGAGGTGGGGCGGGGGGGGAGAGAGAAAGAGAGAGAGAGAGAGAGATGAGAATTCCCCAGATTCTGAAAGGCTTGGGTCAGTGTCCCTCAAATCCTGGCTCTAGAATTTTCTGTGGGAAACAGTGGAGCACGGCTTTAAGCCCATGGGTGCTGGAGTCAGACTGCTTGGGTGTGAATCCCAGCCCCCGCTCATCCTCGCTGTGTGACCTTGAACAGCGGCCGGCCCCTCTGTGCCTTCCTCTCCCCACCTGCAGACAGGCACCGTGGGAGGGCCTCTGTGCTGTGGCGACAACCAAAAGCATCAACACTTGTGAAATACAGCAAACGGTGCCGGGCGCTCAGTTAGGGCTCAGGGACGGCGAGTCTTCGCTGCAAGCTGGTGACACCTGTGCTTGACTCCCTTGCCCTGGACGGCCAGGGCTCCGCCTGGTTTTGTTAGGAGAGCCAACTTCTGGGGCATTCAGTGACTCCATCCTTCAATGCGGGACTGCTTTCTGCACACTTTTATACTGATAAACACTTCATCTGGGGCCAGCTGCACGCCCAGCCTCGGAAGACAGCCGTGAACATGCCGATCAAGCTTTCTGCTCTCACGGGCCTCATGTTCTAGTGGGTGGAGATGGAAAATAAGCAAATAATTGTACACTTCAGCTGGGGACAGGTGCACGGTGAGAAGCAACCGGGGGAGAGGGCAGGGCAGGGGCGGCCAGGGGAGATAGGCTGCCCTCCGTGAAACTGTGTCCACGTGGTAATATGTCTCTCCTTCCTTCTTTCTCTTCTTCCTCCCTTCCTCCCCTCCTTCTTTCCTTCGCTCCCTCCTCCCTCCCATCCCCCCTCTCTCTCTTCCCCTCTCTGTCCCTCTTCTGTCTCTCTGCTTTCCTTTCTGTGCCTGCATCCCTCCCACATGCACTGGGGGAGTTTGGGGAGGACCTTTCCCCCCAGGACTCAGCTTCCTCATTTCTGAAGACAAGGGCAGCTCCATGTCAGAGATGCAGCTACTCAGCATGAAGTCAGACTCCTTGGCCCTGGTCCAGTCCTGTGATGTGTGTTTACATATTTCTATGCTTTTATGTCGACAGTGAAATGTGCTTATCAGGACACCCTGGCATGTTTAAATTGTTTCTCTGGACACTTCCAAGCATGCAGGCCTCTGATCAGTTAGCAGCCCCACCTGGCTGAGACACTTTTTCGGCTGCTCCTGGGGTGAGCTGCCTCAGCCTGGCTCACCAAGAAGAGGCCGGGCCTCTTCCAATGGCAGAATAATCAATCAAAGCATTGTCCATGGGCTTCAGGAGAGATGGAGGAAGGCGAACAGGAAGAGGTGTGCAAAGAGGCCTTCGTTTTAGTTCTATCTATAATGTGTATTTCTTGGAAAAAGATCTGAAGCAAGTATGGCAAAATATTAATATCTGTTAAATCTGAATAGAGAACACACAAACATTTATTATACCAGAGACTTTCCAATGTTTTTGGCCATGATCTATATAGTAAGACATCTCATATACACAGAATACACGAACACACACATACAGACCTGAAGTAATGTTTGGTGAAGAACATTTATACTCACAGCTCTTTCCATATACATCTGATCATTTCCATTCTCTCCTTTTCTAGTCTATTAAAAAATGCTTGCCTGCAATCTATTAAGGTGATTAACAACCTAGAAATAGTTTAGGGGGGAAACTGCATTATATTATTCTCTGTCCTGGTTCTAATTTTTTTGGAATATTTCATAACAAAAATGATACTAGTAATCATTTTCATATCTCCAATTATTGCCAAACATTTAACAGGTATGTTTCTCTCGAACAGCAAAATAGTTGCATAGAATTCCTGCCAAATTCCGATGAAATGTGCACATAAAGGATTTAGTACAGCGCTGGGCACATGACTAATAGAAACGATTATTAGTAACCTGTCCCCAGCTAGGGCAGGGGCTCCTGTGTGCCCTCAAGCTGCGGTGTTGCTATTGCCAGAACTACTACGGGGCACAGGGGCATGGAGGGCTCACTATGGGGCCAGCGCCTAGTAGGTGCTCAGTATGTGTTGAGCAAAGAATGGAGGAGATGCTCACCTTTGAAGAGGCAATACAGGCTAGAGGTTACAAATAGAAGTCCAAAGTCAAACCTCTTGGGTTCAGATCCCAGGGCTGGAGAGACCTGGGCTTGGATGTTTCCTTCGCTACTTACTAGCTGTGTGACCTTGGGCAAGTAACTAACTGCTCCCTGCTTGTTTCCCCGTATAAAATGGGCTTCGAAAAACAGTAATGAGGTTAAATGAGATGACACCTACCAAGTGCTTAGCTGTCCCTGCTGCTGGATATTTGTAGACTCAGCCTTGTGCCTAGTCCAGATGGGCCAAAAAGGCCATGTTTTAGAGAGCCCTGAGCGAGGCCTGTCCTGTTGGCTAGGCGTCCAGACCCTCGGAACCTCTCTTCCAAATCAGTGCTGGAAAATGGTCGACCCTGCCTAACGGGCAGAGTCTCCCCTACAGGTTCTGCAGACACCTCTTCCATGGCAAGGCCTTTAGGAGCACCGGGGCGCCAAGCCTAGGCATTGCTGGAGGTCCCTGTAACGTAAACCCATCTAGGAAGCTGAAGGGAGGGGCCCGGGGTGTATGCTTCTTTGGGCTTGCAATGAGTTCCACATTTAAGGCGATCCAAGCTACTGAGCCAAGTTGGGGCGTGGCCTTGTCCGCAGGTCCACATTCCAGCGATGGCTGGAGGGTGGACCCAAACCCACCGGGGCCCATGGGAATGTAAAGGGGACCCTTTTCAGCAAGACCCACCCGTCTCCATTCTTGGCAAGGTCGGCAGCACAGATGCTGTTGCTGGTTTAATTAGAGAGTCGGCAGGAGGGAGCGGGGCCGCCACGCGACTGCCCGCCAGCCAGCGCCGACTTCCGCAGGCTGGAGCTACAGGCGAGAGGGGCCTGCGAGCGGGAGCGAGGGCCATCCAGAATTGGCATGTCCTTCGTGTGTGTTCTTAAAGGACCGCCATTCATCTGTTCTACAGAAATGTGACAGTCCCTCGGAGACATGTAACAACAGTGGAGGCCTTCAACTGTCACCTGTAATGCCTATGGCCTGGGGGACTGAGTATGGCTCTGGCATTCGAGAGTCCAATTCACATCCAGCTCCACATGCGACTGCAGAAGACTCACTGCCCAGCGCTCAGGCAGCGCTGAACGCTGCTCTCTGTGCCTGGAGTGGATGTCAGAGTCCAGTGAATGAGTGATTAGCAAGGGGCTGACGCTTGGGTCACAGTGCATATTCCTCCTCTCTCCCCTCTGGGGGGCCAGCTGTTAAAAGCAGACACCCTTAGGCTCATCTCCAGTTTGAGGGACACAATGAAAAACTCTTAGCTTCAGGTTATCTTCAATTCGCTATTCATTTGACAACTTTCTATCCAGGGCTGAGCGTACCAGGAGCAGCTCTGGGCATCTGGGACGCTTTGGGGACAATACAGGCTAAGTCCTCTGCCCTCTGGGGGCCTCTGGTTAAGCTGAGGGGACTGACAATACGTTCCGTGGTGATAGGGACGACGGCACATGCTAGACCGTCAGAGCAGGAAGGGAAATGGGGGTCCCGGAGGGTGAGGGTCGAAATGGGTGAGCAGCGGGTGTGGCCTCACCCTGCTTTTGCTGCAGGAGGGGCCAGGAGAAGGGTCCTCCATTGTGGTCGACATGAAGGAGAGAAGGCCATCTGCCAGGTGTCCCTGAGTCGGTGTCCCCAGCTCTGTGGGGTTCCAGTAGGGATCCTGCCAGCCACCACCTCCCATGGGCCCCCTCTCTTGCCACATCAATCCCATGGTGCCGCTCAAACACCCCATGTGACCCTCGGGGCTCCCCCCGCCTGTGCTCAGCCCTCTGCTTCTCAGGGAAATCCCCCCTCCAAGCTCGTCTCGATTCCCTCCCCTTGTCTTGGACCAAGGAACCCTCTTTCCCTCCCTCTGCCCAAGAGAAGGGGAGGTCCGCCACGCAGGGTCTCCCCTTGCCCGCCCCTCTCCGGTCTACTCAGCAAGCATGGGCATCGACCCCGCCTTCCGAGCCCCCTGGCTCCCCCGGCCCCTGCACCCGGCTGGCCGCACTCTCCGGGTCACTGCGGCTGCAGCGACCCAGCCCGGCCCAGCGGGCGCTGCTGGCCACGCCCATGCAGGCACTCCTTCCCTCTGGACCCATCGTCCCCCAGCGGTCTCTCCCCTCCCGCAGCTATGCTGTCTCAGGCTCCCGTCTAGAACCCCTTCAGCTATCTTTTAACTTTTAAAACCGTTTTTAATGCCGAGGCCCCAGCGGCTCCCCCGCCCCCCGTCCCCTTCTCTCCCCCGCTTCCGACCACACATGCTCCATTCCCTCCCTTTGCTTCGACCTCGACCTGGGAGTTAATGGTTCCTAAATCTCTCTCCTGCCTGAACCTTAGACCTGCATATCCAGGTGGCCCTCATCTCCTGGGGCTCTCTCGGGTCCCTCAAACTCCACACGAGCACCATTTCCCTTCACCACCTACACGTGTTCTTCCTCACCTCCGGCACTTCCTTCCCCTCCTAGTCTCCTGGCCTCAGTGCCTAAGGCCAGGACTCAGCTGCCTGATGGAAAGAGGAGACGTCTCTAGCCTCCTCCCTTCCTTCCTCTCCCCACGCTCTCTTGGCCCACAGGCCGGCGGGCTGTCCTCCTGAGGACTCATCAGCCCTCCCCTCCGGTCCGCTTTCTGCCCTGCCCTGGCTCATGGCCTCACCATCTCCTCCCCGTTGGGGGGCAGACACGCCGATGCTGTTTGTGGCAAGTGGCACGTGGGGGAGGAGTGTTTTATACACAGGAGGTCCTTAAAGAGTCTTTGTTCACTGGTTACACTCAAAGTTAGGCAAAATGGCTATGACATCATAGGTCTAAGAGACCCAGAGCAGAATCTCCAAAGGAAGAACAGGCAGCCTGCCCCAGATTCCTGTAAGTCTCTCTGGCTGGAGAGATGAATTAATGAATGTCCCTAGAATTA